CCTAAAAATGCTCTTAAACATTTTTTCATTTTTATTTCCATTGTTGCTAACTCCATTTGTATTGGCACTAGTGTACCAGAACTGTATACTGAGGCTCTTGTAGAGTAAGCTTAAGTGTAGCAGCTTTTTCATAAGTAGGAATAAGTTCTGTAGAGATGAACGCAAGGTTTTGCTATAGGATCTGACCCAGCAGAGAAATTTTATGACATTACACTACTGTGTGGAAGATTGAGTGCATGCAAAGATTATTCTTCCTTTTCCCCTTCTTTCCAATTCTTGGATTAAATGGGAAAATATCTGTCAACAAATAGAGACAAAAATTAATTTGGTATTCTGCAGCTCTATTACAATATTAAATTTTGATGTTTATATGCACAAGCTCTCTCTGTACTAACACAAATCTTTCCTCTGACTGAGATGGCTTAAATATCTCTGGGCCTTTTCTAAGTTGAGCTATTGCTGGCTGACTATCCAGTTTAGACTGTTCTTTTATTAAATACAAATTGATTCAGAGTTTCTGAATTCTGTGGCTTTGATAATCTCCATATTTGCAACCAGAAAAAAAATAAACTGCTGCAGTACTGACTGAATTATACAACAGAACTTAATGTAGCAATAAACTGTAGCGATTTAGCTGTTTTTTTTTTAAAAAAAAAAAAAAAAAGAGATGGAAAGTAAAACTTTGAAAATGCTTTGATGTTTAGAATAGCTGAAGTGCCAAGTTGTGGCATTCTGCTGCTGGGAGCATTCCCCCTGTCAGTGATGACTTCATGGTGAGCAATATCCTGATAAAAGCTTCTGTTGGACCAGTTCAGACAGATCACAAAGTTTCATAGGTCTGGAAGGGTAACACGCTTGCTTTCTCATGGAGTTCTCTGAATTACACTATGATCTGTGCTTGTAAATAAATTTTCTAAGAGATTGTTTTTTAAGATAAGCTGTTACTGATCTTTCCAGAGAAGAGATGAATAGTTGCCCTTGACAAAGTTTTTCAGTGCTGATGAGAATGTTAAACTATGAAGAAGCAAGAGGATTAAATGTCTTCTACTTTTCTTGATTTATTTTGAATCAGGATGTAAGACCTGCAGGATACCTATATGCTCTGTGTGTGTGTGTGTGTGTGTACCAAAATAGTCCAAAGAGTGAAACAACTTCCTGTATGCTTTCTAAAGTAGGATAGACAAAGCAGTGAGAAGGCAGAGTTAAAAAAGGGATGCTTTCAAACAGCATTATAATTGTTTCAGGTAATTCCTTTAGTTTGCCTCCCCTGCCTGCAGCTTCTGCAGCTCTATAGGAGAAGAGTAGGAGAGTGAGCTTTTACTGTCTTAATAGCCACCCTCTTAACCAGCTCTTAACACTTCAATCCAGTTTAGGCTTAGTCAGTTGTCCTGTTGACTTGGTTACCAAGCCATCTGCCAGCAGTACCTGTGGTTTCCAGTAGTTTTGGGTAATGTCCTCTTTGGTATTTCAGTTTAGACTTTCCATGGCCTAGAAGACTGAGATTCTGTCTGTGATATAGGCCAATTCACTATGCTTTTCCTTAAAGCATTGGTGTAAGGCCTCAGAACAAGATCCTGAGCTTTGTCTTAACGGCCTCTTTAGTTTCCTTTTCCCTGCCAGACCAAGCAGAAGTTCTCTGCAGTCTCAAGTTTTGATTTCAGCTGACCTTTTTAAACAAGGGGAGAAGGGGAGACTGTTGAGTTTTTGCAACTCATAGTGTTTTCATACCATCACCAGATTGTGTGCTCCGGACCTGACAAAAACGCTAGTATGTATTTAAATAATACCTTAAACTGTGTTTGATCTGACATTCCCAGAATGTCTCCTCAAGTTGTTATCTCTTTTGCACATATATCATCCAGTCCTCTCACTGAATGGAAGCCAGTAGTTAAGGATGCTGCTTTCCTGCGTTGGGGTCATTGCATTCACATTGGATCATCCTAACAACCTGGGGCGTTTTTCTAGTGAGCACCACAGATGTCTCTTGAGAGGCAAATAGGTGATCCTCTCTCATCTGGGAACTTGTAAATTTTTGGTTTGAGACACTGAATATTCTAACTGCTAAGTAGTGGGTTCAGTCCCCACTAATTCTGAAGTAAAGATAGTTTATTAGCTTTTCTCTTCCTCTTTGCGCCAAGATTTTCTGATACCTTTCTAGAGGAGGTTATAGGCATATGTGTATAGCCTCAGTAGTCTAGTAAGTCTTAACTTTCAAACTCCTAGCAACCTGCTTTATTGCGTCTGTGAATGTGGTCTTCTAGAATGCCCCAGCTTTGTCTCGGCTAAAGCACTAGGTGGGGTCCGAGCCCTTCAAATATGTAAGGGGAAGCTGGCTTCTCCCTAGTGGGGCAAATCCCAAGGGGTGCTATAATCTTCAGATGACTGCTTGTAAGTTCAGAGGATAAGTGGGTAACTCCCTCTTCCTTGTTCACTGCTTTCTGTGGAGTCCATAGCTTGAGTGTATTTATGGCCCACTTTGATAATATCTCTGCAGTACCCATACCTCCGTGCTTCTTAGTGTAGAGCACATACACTAATCTTGCAGTGGTTAAGACATTGTTCCACCCTAGTAATGGCAGAATAGGCACAAGTACTGTTCTGTTGCAAATAAATCTGGGAAGAAAACATGCAGAAGGTTGTTGGGAATTTTTTGTTTTGATGGAGTTGGAAGTGGGGGGTCAGCAATCTGATGTGGTGTGGGCAGAAACAAATCTGATGGTGGCTCTCAGATGAGACACTGTCTAAAGTTAGCTGGTGTGAGTGGATGTGTGAACAGTCATAAAAGACTAACCTTTTCAGTGACTGCAGTCTTCTGATACTTGCAGTCAATGCCCCAGTACTTTCCTCCTCATCTTAGCCCAGGTAACCGGACTGTCATATTGCAGAACTGAAAGGGAGGGAGTGTTCTGTGAACTGTGACTTCAGTAAGGAGCAGGGCTGGAGCTGGATCTTCTCTGCTTCTGCATGTTTGTGCCCAGGAAGGGAGAATGTGTCCTTGTGCCACTGTATATCTACACAAATCCGACATCTTGGGGTACTTGAACTGATCTCTAACATGGCTTTTAATCAAATGTGTCTGCTGAAAATAACACTTTTGCTGATAGTCAGGTACCTCATGTGATGCCTTGATTTCTTTCTTATTTGGCGATTTCTTCTTTTCCTTCTATTGTGGGGTTCTCACCTTTTGGCTTTCTGCTCTTACTCGGACCTAGTCATCCCGATTCAGAAATTATCATTTTTTGAAAGATTTGGAGAATTTAATGCTTAACCTAAAGCCCTGTTTCCAATAGAGGTTTGGATCAGATGGTCTCCAGAGGTGTCTTCTGGCCTAGGCTTTTTCAGTTGAACCCTTCATCAAAAAGGTCCTAGGTTTGAAGATGAGCTTGTCTCAGCAAGCTGTTAAACTTGTCCCATCAATAGCTTGTCGTTAGTAATGATGCTGCTTTTGAGTCTGAAGAAACTTTATGTTGGAACAGGTGTTAGAAATAACTTTCCTTACCACCTAACGTGCTCTTTTTCTAAGGAACTTCTTGATTCTTGCTTGTTTGTCTTCCCTGCTCTTTAGTAACACTGCTATTCTGGGAGGCTGCAGAATCGTTTTTGCTTTGAAGGGTTTCATAATTGTACTAAATCTGAATAGTGGGTGGTTTTTGTTTTTTTCTCTTTTTCCTTCCTTCTTTCCTTTCTTCCTTTCTTGGTAATACAAAAAAGCCCAAGCAAGCCTAATATGCAAGTAGATGGAATGTCATGCAATTTCTATATTGAAATAAAATCAATCTAATAAGTCACCTTTGAGTTCTCCATCTCTGTGCAGTGTAGTAGGTAAACTTGTACTAGCATATCTTGAAGTCACATAGACAGCTTGTGACTCTTGATGAGGAGAAGATGGAAATGAAAGCAGATAAGAAAATAAGAGGGAGCTTGCTATCCTTTTGTAGGAAGAAGAAAACCAACTTACTATTCTTTAATGCTATTGTCTTCATGTAACTGAGCAACAGGCTGTGCATAAAGGCCAATACAATCCAGCAACCTTATTGTTTAGCTCATGGAAAACACTCTGCTGTTCATGTATGGAAGCTTTCCCTTGAATTAAAGGGAGGGAAGAGAAGAATTCAGGAGATGCGGTCATAGAAAACTTTGTAGGAAATCTCCAACTTGCTCAGCCTGGTCTCTAAATGATTCTAAGAATTATTTCTACTAGCAGAAGGGACAGTGACCTCCTAAACTGAGAATACAAGCTTTGCCTGCATGAAGCTCTGACATAAAAGCTCAAATAAGTTTAGAAGGTGAAGGTTGCAGTGGAAAACGAGTGGGATAGAGGGAGTAACTACTGGGCTGAGAGAGTACAGTGAGGAAGATGTATGCAAAAATCAGCTACACAAGACTACTTAAAAAAAAAAAAAGTTTTTTTTTTAAAAAAAAAAAACAGTCTGTTTCTTAATACTGAATTTGCATCAAATGGTGAAATGGTAGAAATAGAGTGGGGACATGCAAGTGCTTGCTTCCAGGGCAAGAAAATGCTTCCAGGTAAACAGAAGAACTTTAAGCTCTGAACAAAAATGAGTTGCAGCTATGAAATTGGTTTAAAATAAACTAAAGCAGCTACAAAGCAGTTCAGCGGTTATTGAGTCACAGCAGCAAGTTCTTCAGTTTAGCTGCGTTTAAAGTCTCAAGCCCTTAAATGTGTATTGTGCACTTCTACATTGAGAATAGTTCTTCTACCTTAACTGATTCGATTCCTTACAGATGCGGTTTGTCAAGAAAATTGTTATCTAAATGGAAGTGACAGAATACAGATCTAAAATCTTAGATTTAATGCTTTCTTATAAGTATGGTAAAACATATCTGAGTCCTGGTGGTAGGATATCTAACTTACTGAAAGAAAAGGTCTTAAAACTACAAGACATTTGAACATCCTTCTGTCTTCTATTCCTTCTCTCTCTCTCTTTGCTTAAGATTGACTTAGGGGCACTAAGGCCTTGCACTTTTGAGAGGCTGGATCACGGCTGCAGTGCCAGGTGCGTCTTTGGATCAAGGTACAAAAGAGAACAAAAATGAATCCAGTTTAGTTTGGCCCCAGTAAGGTGACTGTCATGGTAGTGGAGTATTGCAGGTCCCTACATAGCCTACACAAGTCCCTTATGCTTTAGGGGACACTTCATGATCGTGAAAGGTGATACAAGTTTGTTCTACAGTTCTGTTACTTCCTTCTGTTGCCTTCAGGAAAGTGTCAGTCGCTTCCCATCAGCTTTTCCAGGAGAGAAGAGGTTAATGAAAGTCTTCTGCTGTAGACTAGGGGAAGGGATCGTATCTCCTGTTCTTGTGGAACCTCCCCAAGTACTGGGTTAGCTCTGCAACTTGTAAAAGTTGAAATAGGTGTGTTCGTTAGGTCTTAGTGTGATGGAGCTGAATTCATGTTGTTTCTCTTTACAATACCAAAGACAGCTCTTTGGTAATGGCAACCAAGACAAGTGGCTGCTACATCTCTAGAGCTATAGGATGTCTTCAAAAATATAAAGTAGACTTTTTTTGAAGTGCTAGTTTACAGAGTTGATTCTTGCTCACAAGGAGAGATCTGTGGGTGTTTGCATTGGCATTGTTAAGAATATGGAGTTGTACATGTTGAAGTGGCTTGTTTTGCAGAGGAGGGAAAAAAAAAAAAAAAAAAAAAAAAAACACTAGTAGGAGTTCTGTATTTATACTTCTCAAATCTCAAAGCCCCTCAACTGAAGCACAGAGGAGATCTGCTGTACCTTTTTTTTTTTTTTTTTTTTTTTTTTGGGCAGGAGGAGTTGAGGGGTCTGGAGGAAGCTTGCAATGTAGTTGAAGAAACAGATTCCTAAAATGTGACAGGGCTGAATTGGTGCAGGTGGCTGGCCTACTGGGCCGTGCAGCTCCTTGCGTTTTGGTATCTAGAGACTGCGTGTTACGGGGCAATGAACCAATCCAGCATTGCATGTAAGGGCAAATTGAGTGTGTGTTGAGTGTTTTAGCATAGTATGTTGAGAAATCTGAATATAGGAGATGATCTTGACTGGTTCCTTACAGCATCGTGAGGATCCCATGGTACTAATCCTACGTGGGAAAGCCCACAGCAGTAGAGCGCCAGAGTGAGTGCTGCTCTTTGCAGGAAGTATCCTTGCGCAATGCACGTCCTTTTTGTGGCGAGTGTACTGGGATGACACACAGTTGGGTCTCCAAATAACAATGCTAAAGTTCTCCTACCTATTCTAGATTATGTGACAACAACTTTTTTTCACAGTTGTTGCCACTCATCAGGTTCTGTTTTACAAGGAGGCAGTAACTTCAGATGTACTTGATGTGATATAACAACTTTTTCTTGGCATGAGGTGATCAAATGGATTTATGCAAACACTTTATTGCATGACTGGTATTTTGACTTTAGTACTCAGAGTACTAAAGAGATGAAGGGAAAATGTACAACAGTGCCTGATGGTGCCTGTGCTGCAGATAGCGCTGGCACCTCAGTCAGCTTTTGGTGGTTAATGGTGTGCTGGTTGTCTCGCATCTGTGCTGTCCCTGCGCAGGCTGACTCGTGTGGCACGCTGGCAAGCTGGTGGTGCCTGCAGGCCTCGCGAAGCCAACGGCTTTCTGTGCTGTGCTCTGAAGAAGCAAGATGCCCCCATCCTGAGAGAATGGAAGCAACTTTGCTGCCTAACTTGTTTAATTCCTGCCTGGAGCTCACTTAAATATTTCTAGTAGGCTAGCAGCCAAGAACTTTTAGTACTTGGTGGTATCATTACAGTGTATTGTCCTAGGTATGTAGTACAACCAAATCAGCTTATAGGTCTGATTTCTTATGGCCTACAATAAAATAGAACAGCTTAAGATACGGTATGTGTGTTGTTTTGTTGCTTTGGTTTTTCTCTCCTTTTCAGTAAGCCCTGTCAGAGGAATAGACAACCACGGTCAAAGCGTTGTCTGGCTGTAGTGACAGTGCCAGGATTGCAGAGTTATTTCATTGGTGGCATTGAAAATTGAATTGAGCCTTAGTTATTTATCTGCAGCCAAAGTAGCGTTTAAAAATTCCTGGCAAACTTATTTCTTACTGTGCTGTAGAGATTACAGATAGAGCGTGAGCAGGCAGACTATTGTTTTTTTGCCTTGCAAATATCCTTTCTTTCTTCTTTTCAAAAGTGATTTCACACATAATTAACAACAAAAAGGATTTGTTTATCGTTAGGTCTCTTGCTCTGTTTTTTGTTTAGAAACAGCAATTTAGCCCAAAATGCAGAGATTCTGTCTTCACTGGGATGTTGAGAGGCTCAGATTTGAAAAGTGTGTGGTTGTTATGGTTTTGTTCCGTAAATGACTAGCCAAACAGTATCTGTAGACTTCTGGGATTCTCACATCAATTTTGTGAAATATTCCAAAAGTAGTAGTGCAAGGCCATTGTATTGACTTCTTGCAGTAATTGTGCAAGTTTATTGTTTTAGACTGAAGAATTAATAAGCTTTTTCCCTGCTAATTAAACACCTATGTGTGTGAAGAAATTTTTTATTCTAAGCTACATCCCTTGTGCTGAATGATTATGCCTTTATTTTCCCTTTTATTTACACAGATAAAAGTTGTGCAAATCTGACGAAAGAAGCTGCTTTGAAAGTACAATAGTTAGGTTATTTGTCTAATCTTTTGTACACTGGCAATTCCTGAAATAGATTGTAATCTCTCTCAGTGAATGTTGAAGTACTATTAGTTCTATATCAAGCATTGAATTTTAGGAATTAATGTGTTTCTTATCAGTGTTGACAAATAGTTTCTCTTACATTGTGTTGATCTGGTCTTTCAGATAAAATAATTACAGAAATCTGCCAGGAAAGAAGCAGTATAATATATGCAATTTATATACTTACAAGCTCCTGATTGCTGTAGACTACTGAGATAAATACCCTTCCTAGGAATCTTGCTCTGTAAAGAAGGACTTGAAGTTTTGTAGATGTGGGGTGTTTTTGTTTGTTTTTTTCCCAAGCTGTAGCATTCACATTCACCTTTGGGGCATGAAGACTCACAGTTATATCATGTCTCATGTGACTCTGTTTTTCTTTTCTTTCAGTGAATGATAGTGTCTAGAAAGGGTATGTCCCTTCAGGAGAGAGGTGCCAATGTCCAACCGGCCTAATAACAATCCAGGGGGGTCACTGCGACGTTCACAGAGGAACACTGCTGGGGCCCAGCCACAAGACGACGCAGTAGGAGGAAGGTATGATTGTTATCTACAAGTTTATTTAATGTCTAAAAGACAAAGCTGACAAAATATAGGTAGAGAACAAAACTTTCTTCCTTGAAATCCTAGCACTGAAACTTTGGTAAAGCCGTTTTTTTCCTGTGAATTCTGACTGTAGTGTTATTTCATGGGCTGAAAACTTGGTTAACTCTATGATGTGTATTCAGCTAGAATAGACGTAACAGATCTGTGACTGTGACTATATCACACAAGTTATAGGTAACTACAAATTTTCTTCCCTACTCAATAACCAATATTTAAAAGGAGGGGAGAAAAATGTGGTCTGTGAAATACCAGGGAAAATCTGCCCCCTCACTCCATCCTGCTGTGGAAGACTGGATAACTAGCTTCCCTCTGCTCCCTTGCCCTGCATGTTAAGTGTATTTAGCTTTTGAATAATTCAAGAATAAGATGCTTGTCATGTCTTAATATATTCATACTAGTGAGCAAGTGGATCCAACTGTATTTTCCCTATTTTTTTTCTGTAAACAGTTGCATTAGAACTGCAAAACAAAGTACATCTTGAAACTTATGTTATGGATGCTGGTTGTATAAACACTGATATGCCAATTCATGAAATAAGGTTCTTCATGTAATTGTGTGAGCCTGTGTGGATGCGTTTTTTTTCCCTAGTTTATTTAAAATAATAGTTTACCGAAGAAAGATGATGGTATTATTACAAATGGTATCTGCCTGTATTATTTCTATTTCCTCCAAGGTATTACATGTGGAGTTGTTTGACTATGTGCGTTTAGGACTTGGTCTTCTGGTAGTAAAGTATTGACTACAGTGTTGCAGGCGAATAACACACAGTTTTTTCTATGAAGGATTCAAACTCAGGAGGTGTATTTCTTACTAATCTAAAGTGTATAAAAACTCCTTGAAATGCATAAAGGTAGATACGGGTCCTTAATGCCAGTTACTTTGCTTTAGAGATCTGTTTTTCTTGATCTGTGTTGTGGGTGTATAGGTGGCAGGAGATGAAATTCAGCCACTTCATTAAATCTCTCTCTCTCTCTCTCTGTATATATATGTATATATATTTTTTTAGGCCAGTATCTTAGAGAGATTTAAGTGGTAATGAGAGTCTGTAGAGATTTGTTGTTTCACATTTAAAATTAGCCACAAAATGTATAATTTGGGATTTAAGGGGCACACCTTCTAAAGTGTGTTAGAGAAGATTGCTTCCCTTTCGTCATAGATAAGCAATCAACCCTTCCAGCAGGGCAAGTTTCAGTACTGTCCAAACTTGTACACTTCATTACACTTCTATTTGTATGAATGTTGGAAATAAAACAGCTTTTTTCTTAAACCTTTTCCGTGGCTAAGGATTTTAAAAATACAAATTAAAAAGTGACAAGAAGAAAAAAGCTTTTATGTAAGGCATATTGCTTGTGCAGAAACTTCCCATTTAATACTGTGGAGTTTGTTAATTTTGTTTTAAACAAGTGGTTATATAGGCCCCTTTGTAATAGCCATTTTGTTGTACCTGCTCTTGCATGATGTGTGGTATAACTACAGAATCCATGAAGATTTGTGGTGCAGTGCAGCATTATGTATATGCACCCTAACCTTCTGAGATAAAGCAAACATACCTGGGAATGCTTCATCTTATTTTGGGGCATACAAGCATGTGATAATTTTATGTGTAACAGCAGTTAAAACAAACAGTAGCCAGTAATTGGAGTTTACACCAATTTAAGTTCTAAAGATTAGATTTCCAGCTAAAATCTACAAGTACTTTGAAGGATAAGGTTTCTTAATTTAAAATTTCTCAGTTGTCCTGAGACAGCAGTGACCTTTTGAGGATGGTGTGAGGAGAGAAGTCTCCATCCTAGATTCTTTCCAGCTTAGGACCAGCAGAAAGCGTGGAACATGAACTGTTATTGAAGGGTTTTGTCTATAGGATTTTCAACAATGAATATCTGATTCTTGTCAAGAAATCTGTTGTAAGAGGTGATGCAAAGCTTATAAATTTGCTGAGCACTTTAATTCTTCAGAGAAGTTTGAGTTAAAATTTTAAAAACTTTTGCATTTTTTAATGTATTTTGAAGATTTATGACCTTGCAACTTTAAATTCCTACTTAGGCCACTGACTATTTCCAAGTCATTAGTATTTTACCTCAAATGGGAGGAATTTGAAAGTGGTATTGAGGTACACAAGATCTCTTCTGAAACTGGTGCAGATAATGTCTCTTCAGTTACAAGCAGTGCTTCAGTGTATTGTTGGTGTAGAGGGATGGAAGTGGTCCTGTGCACCACAACTAAGTCCTAGTACTGCAAAAACTGTATTTTTTTCCAATTGTATGAAGTGAGTGATACTTATTTTTTATAGTCTTCTCTCCCCCAAAACATGGAAAAAGTATTTAAGTTGGATATGAATTTGACATGAATGACTATCATGCTATTAGTTGTGTATGAATGGCTGATAATTTTGCTAAACTTCCAAGTTTTCATAATACAATAAATATTTATTCCTGTTTGTTTTGGATTGGAGGCTACATGAGAAAATAGGGGTCCTGAAAAAGTGTATGGTGGATACTAATACAAGAACAGGATATGGAATAAATCTTAGGCTGACCTATTTCAAATATTAAAACAAGAATAATGTGTTGGCAGGTATGCCATTTCCATTCTGAAAGAATTTGTTTCAGAACCAGTCCTGATAACGTGTTGTCTTCTACATGAAGCTTGTGTCAAAACTAAATCCAATATTTAAATGTAAATCAGATTGTTCATTCTTCTTAGTAGAATCATGTTTAAAAGTGTTACATTTTAACTTTTCCAAATGACTTTTTTTAAACAATACACTGCACATTCATTTTGTCTATGTAGGCTGAATCCTCTAACCTAGTATTGCTAATTGGACTGTATGAAATAGGGGTCGGAAGAATTTCTGAAGAGTGAAGTTAGCTTGTGATCTGCAGAATTGCTATTTATCCCACATTTGACAGCTAAAAGTTTTGTTTGTTTGTAAGACTTAATACTTGGAAGAGTTTAATGTCTCACTTTGAGCCACTGATGATATGACTTAGATGAAACGCTTTTCTTTTTGTTAATTAACTAACTTCAAAAGGTTCAAAATGAACTTCAAAAACATATTTTTAGTAAGCTCAAAATAATTCTTTTAGGGAAGGTTCTAGTTATTTCTTCGTGGTTTTTCGAAGAAAAACTAAGGGCTTGCTGTTTCCAAAGGACTCCTTATAGAAACACTGAAAAATGGTGTTTTTTGCAAAGCACATTACTGTGAGCTGCGTGTCTGCCTGTGAAATTAAGTGCTTATCAGTGGATAGCTCTGTCCAAGCGAGCGAAGCCCTGGTGCGGGTTGTAAAACCTGTGTCTCAAGTTGTGGAAATGCCCCTCCAAAGCATAGGAAGCCCTTGGTCTCCCTGGACTTGCACCTGCCAATGGAAACGCACGGTCGCAAATAAATACTTATTTCTTCATTCCTCACCATTAGTGAGAAGCTGTGATTCTCACAATATTTGTTGCCAGAATATTTGTTCGATTGCAGCCCCTGAGCAAATGACATGTTAACATATTAACAGGGAGCTTGTAACTGGATAACCTGGAGCTAAAAGCCTTGAATTATTGTCATATTGCAGCTAGCTTACAGTACTGCAGTCTTGAAGTAAGCTTCCAGCTGTCTATGTAGTTTTCATAGCACTTTATTTCTCAAACTTTATTCCTGTTTCTAGCTCAACAGACCTGTTTTAGTTGACTTTATGTGCAAGTTAACTCTTAACAAGACCTAAGCAAGATGCCCACAGCCTTAGTACAAGCTGGGTCAATGATATTTGTTAGCTGCAGCAAGATTCCTTTATTTGTACCCTGCAGTCTCTCCAAACTGACAGGCTGTTTGCTATCATAGAAATCTTGTAGGAGGGGGTGGATATCATCCTCCTTTGGTTTAACTGCTAGGCTGTTTCATTTGCAGGGTTATGCTACTTGGATTCTGATCAGTTCTTACTCTATAGCTAGATTATCATGGAGCTATTTAGAATTGTGCTCTTGCTTGCACATTCTTTTTATTTTTCTCTCTCTCTTTTTTTTTTTTTTCTTCCTTTTTGTTCCAGCAAGCTTTACTTTTAAGTTACTATTGGAATCCTTAAGAATCTGGGGAGACTTCTGATGAATAATAGCACTGCCTTTGCTCCTCGGTTACTGATGTGTGGCTAGAAAAAAAAAGTTATTTGAGAAGTTGTGGAACTCTTTAACCCCTTCCACTTGCTCTTTTGAACTGAACTCTTGGATGTTCAGGGTCACAGGTTGGAAAAAGACATTTCAATTTTGCTGTCCCAACCTCCCAAGGTTATGAAGCAGGTGTTTGTGTAGCTCAACTCAAAGGAATAGATATCCAGAATTAATGGCCTATTAATTCTTCAATACTAATCACTGATTTTTGATGCTAATCATGCTTGTTTAACTTTGATACCTTGCTTTTCTCCAGCATTAGTACCAGGATACGTTTGTAGGAGGCTGTGTAAAGGTTTTTGGTACTCAAATGTTCAGTACAAGTGGGATACGTGAGCTGTGAAGTTCTCAAAGTTTATCCAGAGCTCAAGTGAGCAGTCCCTTGTCCTAGCAAGTATTTATACTATGCTGTGTTTTAAATGCTGGTGAGCTATCTCTTCCGAGTCTTGCAGATGGTTTTGAAAATAGACATGGAATATGTGAATATGTAACTCTAAATGTATTTATAGTGTAGTAGTATGTTTTCTTTTGCCCTCCAGTCACAAGCTTGTGCAGCAAAACACTACTTTTTGCATGCAGCTAAAAGCTTCTTGAAGAACTTAACCTATGTGAAACAGGTTCCTTTCTCTGACATCACAGGTTTCTTGTCTCATCTGACTTCTTGAGCAGTAACATGCATTTCTGCTTTTCTTTTCCTGAACATGGAACTGGTGGAGTTAGAGAAATAAGATACCTGGCGAAGGCTGAGCCTTCCTACAGAGTGGAAATGTTGTGATCCTATTTAACCATTTGATTCTTCTTAAACTGAAGAGCAAAGAGACTGAGTTTTCTAAACATTTTTAACTGCATTAAGTCTTAATCTCTCTCTCTTTGAAGTTGATGAGTGAGTGTGTGTGTGTGTGTGTGTGTGTATATATATATAATGTATGTTGTCTAGAACTGTGTCTTACTGTGCTAGCAATATGCTTAGTGTTATCTAGCAAGTTTGTGCAATAGTATGTGAATTTATCTGCACTTCAGGTGGGAGAAAATGTCTGACTTGCTTAAAATGAGTAAATAATAGAGTGCTTTAAAATTAAGTTGCATTGGTAGTGATTTATAACCAAACCAAATGATTCTTCTCAAATATTTCCTTAACATAAGGGATTGTGGGGGAAAAAAAGGAAGTTTTACTTTAATATTCATAAATATTCCAAAAAAAAATCCACCTACAAGTCTGTATCTGTATCTCAGAATCCTGATAGCTTTCTGTTTTGACTTTCTGCTGACAGGTCACACTTAGGGCAGGCAAAACATAAGGCACATAGCCCTCCTGAGAGTAGAAAATCTATTTCAAAGACACCCAAAGTGCAGTCTAATACTACTTCTGAGCAGTCCAAGGGACACTTTTCTAAAAGGTAACTGTGCTTCATATTCATATGTTAACGAGTGTTATCTGCACTTCACAACTGTATTTAATGTGTTTAGTAATACAGAGTTCTTATAAAATGTACATATGAGCAGTAGATTTTTAATTAAACTAGCTGTAGCATTCTGTGAATGTATTTGTGTGTTGCATTTTGTTGGTGCTTGTGCTTGTAGCTCACCAACTTGGAGTGTGGCAGTGAGAGAACGAATTCTGCATAACTAGTCCTGGGCAACTTAGTTTCTGTCTTGCCCCTTGCATGTTGGAAGAGGACTGCCTAAGTAGTTCTGAGTGATATCCTATATTAATTGCAGCCTGTAATCTAAAATTTGCCTGTGTTTGGGGTAGTCATCTTGGTCTTGTCTCTCCTGCCCTTGGCTACTTACACACTGGAACAGTCTTCTGTCATATCAAAGATAATTTTACCTTTTTTGTGTATGGTTAATTACCTTTATTTTGACATAATATATAAGATTGATAAGACTGCCACTTTTTATTTTATTTTATTTTTTTTTAAACACCTTGAACCAGGATCTAGTTAAGACTACTTATGCATTACTGAACACTCCTCGGTCTGTTTCGGAGCTCTATATTCCTAATCACTTAAGTTTCATGACCTGAATTTTTGTTTCTTTGGTCATTTTAAGAAGTTCTACCTTTTTGTGAAAAATGGAAAATAGCAAAACAGATCCAAGTCATCTCATCATCTTTTTCTAGAGAGTAATGTGCCTTTATTTTGCTGCTATTAGGGTTTTCATGATAGCAAAGTGTTGGATCTTTTTGTCGTTGTTTTGCACTGAAAGCTGCAATGTGGCTGTCCTCATTCAAGCATGTTTTTTCTTGTCTTGGTGTAAACTTAATAGTGAGTAAGGCTTGTTACCTGTGGCTTCCCTTATTAGAGAATGCTCACATTTATCTTGCAAAAATGTTATAATAGTATCAGGTTTCTTTATTTTAACACTAATGCTGTTTCTGCTTACCTCTGCAGAGGCTGTAGCTCATCTGCTGTTATAATACCACAACAAGAAGATCCAGAAAGAGTCAGTACTTCAGAAAAGCAAAAAACGGGGCAAGTGCCTAAGAAAGACAATTCTCGAGGAGTTAAACGCAGTGCTAGTCCAGATTACAACAGGACAAATTCTCCTAGCTCTGCTAAAAAACCCAAAGCACTTCAGCACGCTGAAACATCCTTGGAAACTAGCAAGCCACATAGTAAATCTAAGAAGAGACACTTAGACCAAGAACAACCCAAGTGTGCACAATTGCCATCAACAAGCAAGGCTCACACCAGAAAGGGTGGAGCTGCTGGTAGCTCCCGAAGTCAGAAAAGGAAAAGGACAGAGAGCCCGTCTTGTATAAAGAGTGCTTCAGCAGCTGAATCAACTGGCGCTGAAGAGAGGTCAGCAAAACCCTCCAAGCTGGCTTCAAAATCGGTGACCTCAGCCAAAGCTGGGTGTAGCACCATCACTGATTCCTCCTCTTCAGCTTCCACGTCCTCCTCCTCTTCTGCTGTTGCCTCTGCTTCCTCCACTGTTCCTCAGGGTGCAAGAGTAAAACAGGGAAAGGACCAGAATAAGGCTAGACGTTCCCGTTCTGCATCCAGTCCCAGTCCGAGAAGGAGTAGCAGGGATAAAGAACAGAGTAAAACAGGTGGCTCTTCAAAGTTTGACTGGGCTGCTCGCTTCAGCCCGAAAGTTAGCCTGCCTAAAACAAAACTGTCTCTACCAGGCTCTTCCAAGTCAGAGGCATCAAAACCTGGACCTTCAGGACTGCAGGCAAAACTAGCAAGTAAGTTGAAGGTATTTTGCTTGTTTTTGTGGAAGAATAAGCATGGATGTCTGAAAATGAAATCCTCTAAACCAACACATGTGTCACTTTTGGGTTTAGGTAACTCCTAGTGTGTGTTCTACTGAGCCCTTAGGTAAAGCAATGTATGAAAATACAGCTGAAACAAGTGACTTAGTACAGAGTCTGTGCTTTGTAGGTGTAAGTTGCTTCTCTATCTTACACATGAGTTTTCATAATATGTAAGATAGTTGGATGCTGTTGTGATTGGGAAATGTATTTAAAAAGCCCTTAAATCCTGCCCCCCCGCCTTTATTTTTTTCCTGTTATAAATAGCTTTCTGCAATTTTCTATCCCAAAACAAGAGCTATGAATGCTGAAACACAAGTAGAAAAATGTGGTTTCTTGTATGAGACCTGCTTTTCTACCTCTTTAGTGTGTTTAGGACCTTTGATGTTAATTGAAGATCAGTAATCTTTTAAAACTAGTGCTGCGGTGCCTGGAGGTTTAGTGTCATTTTATCTTTTTAATTGTTATTATAAAACATGTCCTCACTCTGGCACCGAGTTAAACTAGGATGTACTCTGTTTGGATATTCTCATGAAAGGTGTTTCCAGGTAGAGCCTGTGCTCATTAGTGTGTAGATAGATATGCTTGTAGCCTTGTTCCCTGGAAGAATATATTTGTCTAACTCAGCTCGTAGGAATGCACCATATGCCTTTGTGTACTGCAAGATTTATTTGTAGCATGTGTTCTCTAAAACTTGCTTTAGATTCCTTATCTGCTTACTGCTGCTCCTGTGCTTAGACAGGTTTTTGAGAAGCCTGTCCCAACTCTGGGGTGTGTTTGGAGCTCATAGTAATGCAGGAAATAGGTGAAATAAACAGGAGGAGCTTGATGGCTTCCTGTATAATCAAAATAGCTTTAATTGACCTAACAGGCTTGTTTAGGATGATTTGCATGCCTGGAGTATTGGTTCTAGGGTGACCTAAGCTGGTTCAGGAAGGAAGGGCTTGGGGAAGTGGAAAGGGAGAAGTAGAAAGGGGTTGCTCTTGGCTTTGTCTTGTATGCTTCATGATTCAAAACTGGGTGGGTGGTGGATTTGGGATCTCTGACTTGGTGAGGGGGCAGGAACTGGGCAAGAGCAGGGCTGACCAGCAAGTTGTTAGCCAAGTCTGAGTTACAGGTGGCTTTTGGAGAAAAGCACAAGGGAGGAATAGAAGTTCCCCTGGCAAGTGAGCAATGGTTAGGTAAAGACAGAGGCAGCTTCTGTGACAATTTACATCTGCCAGCAAAAAGGTGAAATAGCACAGCGGGATCCTAAAGTAAACAAATCTAGGTGTCAGCAGCTTGAAAAACAAGCCAAATTTGAGAAGAAAAGCCTAAATTACCCCCACAAGGGGTATCCTGAGAGGCCAGTTTGACTTGCTTTAGTGACTTGAAAGTCAGCTTATGCACAAAAATAGAGAACTAGGTTGGACTAAGACATTCAAGTATGACACAAAGCCAGGAAAGTAGGGTCTATAGGTCCATGCATACATATATATGAGATGTCACTGGGAAGGAGCATTGAAGGTAGTAATAAGCATCACAGACTTGTTAGAGGTAAAGGAAAGCTGCTTCCTCTAGGTGACATAGCAGTTGGAGGGCAGAAGTACTAACAGTTGGTTCTTGGAAGTCTAAGAGGTCTAATACCTCTTTGGCTGTAGATGACAGCAAAGTTAATCTGATAGCTAGTGTGTCAGTGATATTTGATCCTTTCTTGAAAAAAGATGTTATCTTGCAGTCATATAGCTTCAGTAATTGAAAGCCTGCTGGGGCAGAAATAAGAAATTGTTGTGTTAGACTCTTAAGGAAGAAAGGGTCAGGAACTTATTTTCTGTGTGACACCCCTTGTGAGTAAGGGAGTAGAAGCAGGTGAGTTTTTGCATTGAAAACGATTACAAATTGGCAATTACGATTTTTGAACAAAATCTGAAAGAGCTAAAGTAGCCTATTCCATAGAAGAGAGGAATGAGGAGAAACAGGAGCCTTGCCAGGAGAGTTTCTCATATTGAAAGAGAATACCCAGAGGTTCTCGTGTCCTGAGAAAGACTGAACGTTAAGTACAGCCATGGTGACCTCTGAAGTCTTCAGCTACCCCACAGTCTAATGTTGGGGCTAACTGAGTGGTGACATTGTTGAGGCTTCTAAATTTGTTGGAAGAGTTAAAATCAGGCTAGACTAAGGATTCCTCATCATTCCTCTCCCCCGCCACCCTTTTTATCTAATAGGAAGAAATAAATTAAGTGGAAGAAAATCATTCTGTACATGTCATGCCTAATTTTGTCAAATACCAGAGTTAGATACGAACTGAGAAACTGCAGCATAGAATTAGAATGCAGGAGTTTTGTGTTGCTATCTTTTAATCTGTCTGCATTTTCATATCCCTTTCTGGAACTGTATTCTGTAGGGCCTTTCTAAATGTTGCAAATCAGGTCAATTTACTGTTATGCAGCAATATAAAAACAAGCATAATTATGCCTGTGCTCCTATGAAAATCTCTGTGTTTCTGTGGCCTTTAAGCAGATGGAAGCTGTTGGTGATGACTGGGATGATGCTGAGAGCAAGTGGCTGCTAGGGATGCTGCTGGTGATAGAAAAGCCTTGGCTGGATACTTGGGAAGGTTTTTGGAGTTGTTGGGGTATATTGGAAAGCTTTGAACATATAGAGTGGATGTATAACTCTGATTTGAAGACGCTTGGAAGGGTTAAGGGCAAGAAGAGTCTGAACATAGCACTTGGTTTGGGCCTGTGAGGGACTGGGATGTGCTATAGCAAAGGTGCCACGTGTGTGTGGTGGCCAGAGACTGAGCTGTGCAGTAGTGGAGCCACAGAAGGTGATCTTGCCCCTTCCCCTTTTCACCCCCCGCCTTATTGCCGGAGGAGGAGGAGGAGAGCAACCCAACACGGAGTCTGGGAGAGTCTGAGCTTCCAGCCCCAACAAATCTCTTTTGGGTTATCTGAACTGTAAACCAAAGGGCTGTTGGTTTTATGGGTAGTTAATCAGACTAATCTTCTTTTCAGTTGGCTGAAAACAGTCGTACTGTTAAAGTAAGCAGAAGCAGTGCAGCCACTTTGGGAACTAGTTTCTTTAAAAGGCTTTTTTGCTTTGTGAAAGAAACAGTGACCAATAAACAGACTGAAATATGTAGATGTTCTTGGGGCATCTTAATTTTTGTTTCTGTTAGGCTGCAGTGATTCTGGTTTAGCCTGTTTGGGTCTTCTCCTTCAGCTTCATTAGCATGAGTGTTTGGCATGCAAATGGGATGATGTCAGAGTGTAAGCAATATATCCGCTTGCTATAACTAAGGAATCTCATAGCTGTAATTCTAAATTTTCCATCTACATCTTTTGCAGTGGGTGAATATGATTTGCTTAACCCTAACTTGCTTTCAGTTTATCAAAAGTCCAACTCTGCTCCTGTCTCCTAGTCTTTGGAGACTGATCTCTTAATGATAGCTCTGTGCTGGTAGATAACTCCAGAGAAGGACTTCAAAAAGTCCTTGCTGTCTGTGCATGGCAGTATGACTCGTGCTTTCTTTTCTCAAACAGTTAAAGGGCATCTTCAGTCCCATCTGTGAGCACTGTCTTATTTACCACCTCAGGCCAGGGCCGTTTATTTCCCACAACTTTCAGAGGCACAGGAGGCCACGTTGGCAATGTGTTAAGGTGAGCTTTCCAAAAGATGTAGACTTGAGATTGACTTAAACCTTTTTAAACAATATACTTTAAGGACAGAGAGTGTCTTTGAACAGCAGGAAGGCAGGAAACTCTGAAAAAAATCTTTCATCACTTCCTTTTTAGCCTTTAAAATGAATAGAGGGAGATGCAAGCGCAGATGTGCCTTGGTAGATCCATCAGAGGTAGAGAAGTGCAGTCTTGAGAGAAGAGAAACAAACAAAAGGATGCGATGAGTCAAGTTCTCAACTAGGTAGGAGGAGAAAATCAACTCAAGCTGAGGCACCTTTTAAGTTACACTACAGCTCATCTACTAAGTAGTAACTCCTTAGGCTCTCTAACTCTTCCTGAGGTAACTCTGTTTAAGGGGAAAGCATGATTAATGGAATGCTTTCAGTGAAAAGGGGCAACCCATTTCACAGCTTCCTTGTCCTGCTGCTTCACTATGGCTATACTTGTTTGACCCTTGGTGAGCTGGCTCAGCTCTCCAAACTGGCAGAATGTTAGTTCAACAAAAAAAGGAATAATTTTGTACATCAAAGGGTCAGGCTGAGGGTAGTAAAGCAGCAGTGACTGAACATACACCTGAAGTGCAGTAAGGTATTAAGGTCTGCTGTCCTGTGATACCTTTGCCTTTAGCTTAAATCCTATTTTATTTTTAAGCTAAGCCTATTTTATTTCACTTAAAATAGAAATGTCTCCCTGACTGCTTATTACTTAGCTAGTAGGAACTAATGTAGGGCTTAGGTTCGTTGAGTTTGGAACAGAGTGCCATTGGCTTGGGAACAGTGGTATGTTTACAAAAAGAATTCGCACGCGCGCACCCTTTCCAGTGAGCTCTATTGCAGTGGGGTCATTCTTCTCCTTTCTTTCAAATATAAAGCCAAAGTACCCCTCGCTTCTGGAATCTTACTGTCCTGTTCTGCAGAAAAGCAGCACTGGAATTTGTGAGCACCGGGAGCCATCTTTTATCAGGGGAGTAACGTTGTGCTGAAGTGCTAGTTAAAGCATGCATTTTGTATTGTAAAATACAAAAGTTTTGTATTTTTGCTTCATATCTGGGCATTTCTTATTTCTGAGAAACTTAGCCATGGTATGGGATCTTGCTGTGACTAAGAACTTGGTGGTGTTCTGTGGGGTGTGTGTGTGTGCTTTGTTCTGCTTGCTTGCCAGGAGAGGGCAGAATGACATAATTGTCTCATCTTTTCACTTTTTCATCTACCTCTGTTGTAATGCACCCCGAGTTTGGTCTTCTGCTTTTATGTGTTAAATGCAGCAGGGAACTGAAATGTAAAATTGAATGTGAAGGAATCTCTGTCTCTGTCTCTCTCTCTCTCTCTCTCTTTTTTTTTTTTTTTTTCTCTCTCTGGTCTTCCATGCTCAAATTGTCACCCTTCCGGTCTGGAAGCTATGTTTTGATGTGTTGGAGTATTTCAGCCTGGTAATAGGATTGTTCTTGTATTGTGGTTTTTTGTGTATTTGCCCTATATGGTTCTGCAGTAGTAGGAGATGCTATTGGAATGATGGTGATGGCTTCACAACCTGGAGCCAGATTAGTGTCCGTTATGTCAGCCTTCAAAAGAGGCAAATATATTAAAAAATTCAGAATCTGTTTCCTTAAGTTATGAGGGTATGCTGGGTTACTTGCTCAAAGTGACATTACAACAGTGATAGGAGCTCAAGGGATCTGGTTAAGATAAGAACATGATACATACCTGTTAGAGAGCTCTGAACAGTTGCAGTGCTTGACTCGGGGAGGGTGCTGGCTTTGAATTTCAGGCAGGCTTGAATAAGCCATAGTAACGTGGATCAAACCGACTGACTAGAATAAGCATTCAGCTGGTCAAGGTGATAAAGTATTATGTTGACTCTGTACAGGTTTTACTTAGAGGTGGCTGACTTTCACCTCTGCATCTAGTATATCTGTCTTTGACTCAAAATTAAAACTATTTTCTGCCATAGGTGTATTGTATATCAACATGTGGAAATAGGAGACTTGTGTCCTATACCGTAGTATCTCCTTGATATAGAAAAGATCTCAAATCTGTAGAGTAGAGATTAGGAAAAGGTGGCCAAGTAACAACATGGAGATTAGCAAGTGAAAGAGCTACTATCTAAATCTTCCTCTTCATGGTGCAGCAGTTTAATATAAGATGTCTGAAAGAGCTGATGACAACTGATTGCAGTTTTCCTGTAAAAGTTGTTGCCTTTTGTTTTCTGTAGAACTTCTAGAAGAGTAAGTCTTTAAATAATTTTTTGCATGTTACTTAGGTCTACGAAAATCTACAAAGAAGCGCAGTGAATCACCACCTGCTGAGCTCCCCAGTTTGCGGCGGAGCACACGGCAAAAGACCACGGGCTCCTGTGCTAGCACCAGGTAAAACCCGTGACAATAACTCGTGGTTACTGTGCCATATTGGTATTTGTATTTCTTTACATGGTTAGCCATGCCCACCTTTTACTGTGCTATTGGAGAAGTAGCTGCAGTTCTGCAGGCCTGCCAAGTTGCTGTGATGTACACAGACATACGGATGTGCACAGGACTTGGCACCATCAACTTCCCTCACTCAAGTATTCTAGTTCAGGGGGTGAAGTGAGTGAGGGAGAAAACACAGCCAAAACTAATATCTCAAATTCAAATCATCCTTTTCTTAGTGAGGTAATGTTTAATAGAGTATAAACACTAAGAGCTAAAGAATTCTGAATGACTTACCATTACAAATAATAACATTGCTTATTTTGACAAAGCAAAAAGGACTTTATGGTGTCTCAGAGTCTGTTTGATAGTGTATATCTGAGTTGATTGTGCTTGTCACTGGCTGCATCCAAACAGCCAATATTAAAAGTATTTAAATATGTGAAATATGCATCATTTGATGCAGGGGAAAATTAGTTTTGAATTAATACTTTTAAGCAGACAGTAGAGTGGAGTGAGGAGTAATCACATGTGTGGTTATGGTCCATATAAATATATATAAATTTTTGAATAATCTTGTATTATTAATTCTTGGTTTATAGCTCCCAAACCTGTGTGTGTGTGTGTTTTTAATCTTTAGTCGGCGAGGCTCTGGCCTGGGCAAAAGAGGAGCAGCTGAAGCTCGCCGACAAGAGAAGATGGCTGATCCGGATAACAACCAGGATGGTGTTAACTCTTCAGCTGCACGTACAGATGAGGCTCCCCAAGGGGCTGCAGGTGAGGAGAAAGAGCACCTGCAGCATTGTAGCCTATTTTCTGGTATAAACTTCCTAGCATTGTAAAATACTTTTCCCCCAAAGCTTCAGTATCATTTAAATTGTACTGCTTTTGGAGGCTGTTTGAGTGAGAGGAACCTTTACATTTGAATCTGTTCTTCTGGACATGTGGTACAAATCTGAATTATGCTTTTTCATAGTCTCCAAGCTGTTTCCAATAAGCTCCTCCTGGAAAGGAGGTGGCTTCCGGAAACTAAACTAATTTCAGCTAATGCTATATAAATTACTGTAGGGCCAACTGAAGAGAAAGACCAAATTGTTCAGACTGTAAAAGACGTGCATTTACTTGCAAAAGTTCTTTTGTAACTGCTGGAAAGTATTTTAAAATTCTGATAGGCTAATAACTTCAGTAGAGAACTATCTATACTGGAGAAATTTATCAATGAGTTAAAAATATATCCGTATTTGCACTCGGAATATTTTATTTCTTAGTTGTGTTATTACATGGTACTTAAATTTATCATCTGGTCCTGATTATCAGTGAGTTCAAAGGAGCTTTTCAACAGTTTTGTTGGCTTGTAGAAAACCTCAATGTTTTGTTCTTAAAATGAACTCTGTCATTGCAGTAAATTGAAATTAATTGAAAAGAAGTACAGCATAATTCTGGAAAAAAGACTAAATGTATGGAAAAAAGCTGAAATATAATTTGCTGATCTAGCTATTTTTCATCATCTTGGTTTGATATAGTGCCTTGTGCCTTTTTGTAAAGGACTAGAGCAGTAGACAGACTGTTGGAGTAGCAATTGTACAGAAGTATGACTGCAGCAGTATTAAGTGCAGAGTATCCTGAGAACCACTTGTCCTAATGCTAGAGTTGATGGGAATTTTGCAGCTTGACAGCAACTTGCTAATCATTATTTTATTTTATTTTTTATTTTTTTAGCTTCTAGTTCAGTTGCTGGAGCCGTAGGTATGACAACCTCTGGAGAAAGTGAGTCAGATGACTCTGAGATGGGAAGATTACAAGGTATGAAAGCTCATATTAATTTACAAATTTGTTATTGTGTTACTATGGTTACTATGGTCCAAACACCCTCTGTATAATATATAGTTGGAAACCTGTAGTTTGTGTGTCTATCTGTGAATGAGATCCCTTGCTTTTGAAGTTTGGAGTTACAAATTCTAATTCACTAAAGATGCAAGAATTCGGAAATGATGTCTGAATGGGTGATACAGTGTAAGGATTCATTTAGTGTGTTACACTTAAATGTATTGTTGGTTGCTTTTTTCAGTTAGGCTGGGGGAGAGAACACAGCCCTGTTGTGAGTGTGTTAGCGGTTAGCTTAGACATACAAAAATGTCTTTACAAGAAAAAGTTTTCTGATTTAATTTTTTTTAGGCCTGATTAGTCCTGTTACTCTGCCTACTTCTGCTTAATATTTTTGTGCTTGTTATTGTTACTATAAGCTTTCCCCAAGCAAAATTTGAGTATCCCGAAAATACTTATTTTCCTGCTTTTAGGATATAGAAAGATACAGTGTCTGTCAAAGTCGCACAAAGATATATGTAGATGTCTGTGAAAGTCAGAATTCAGACAGATAGATGTAAAATCAGTCTGTATATCATGTAATTGTTTGAGGGATTTTGCCCATGTAGTGCAAAGAGCTCTGAGATCATTCTTCTCAAAAAACAGTTTTGAGATGTTCTGGATCTTTAACATGAAAATGCTTGGAAATAAGCGCTAAATCACTCCAGTTCACTTGTTATAGGGTATCATTAAGCATAGGTACGCATAATGTATTCTGAACTAGATTGTTTTTTATTATTAATTCTCTTTTGGATTGATGGGCAGTGTTCAGACTTACTACAATAAGAATCAGAATCACCCACTTACCATCTAACTGAAGTAGAGGAATTTTTTTTTTTCTGTAGTCTTAATAGTAGTCTTAGTAGTCTAGTACTCAACAGCAAATAGAGCTGTGAATCTTGTTCAGGTCCTCCAAGATTAATCATCACTAACTCGATTCCCATAATAAACTTTTTTTTTTCTCCACTGGAAATGTGAAGATAAATTTAACCTATTTTGTTAATGTTTGAGTTCACAGCTTAGTACGTTTGGTATTCTAGATCTAGACTTCTAGTATCAGTTTAGAGGCCTAGATTTGTTCTGTGAAATATGTAACTTCCAGAAACTCAGTGGGTGACTTAATTCCTGTGGACCTTAATAGCCTGGTGCACTCAAGTTATTTGTTCCCTAAAGGTGGTCTTTTTTGTGCTTTCAGAAATCTAGGTAGATGGCGTAATCTAATTATTCTTTGTAAAGTTTTGAAGGTCCTGCAGCCTGAAATTGTAGCATCATTGAATTTGAACTTTTGAAAAAGTATGTAGAAGCTTTGACAATGGTTGTTGTCCTCTGTTTGCTTTTAGCTCTGTTAGAGGCTAGGGGTCTTCCTCCTCACCTGTTTGGCCCTCTTGGTCCTCGGATGTCGCAGCTCTTCCACAGGACAATTGGAAGTGGAGCTAGTAAGCAAAGTTTGTTGACTTAATTCTTTCCACTTCCAGACTAGTAGAATTCAGACATTGCTTAATCCTAGTATCTGTGTTAGCTACGTTTCTTACTAAAATGGTGTATATGTTGGAGGCTTCTGTGCCACCATAGTGGTAGACAACGTCAGTACTATTAATTTGCTTTTCTTCCTATAAGGAAGAGAAATTTGCTTTTGCCTATTTCTTTTCTTTCTTTTTTTTTTTTTTTTTTTTTGACATCTTAATGTTTCTGTTTAGGTGGGGATGGGAGGGTTTTTCCCCTTTCACCCCTTCCTTTTTTCTTCCTTTTTGGGCTTATTTTGCATGATGGGCTGCTTAACAAAAGACCCACCCCAACCCCTTGGGTTTTTTGCTAGCTTTAAGTCAGTGCATGAGCTAGCTTTAACAGTGTTAGGGTGTGCAAATTCCTAAGGTATATTGGTCATAGTTTCCCAGTGTCTTGGGTATGTCCAGCAGAGATTGGTTCTTTTGGACAGTGTGTCATTGGGGCTGTGGCTCCTTACTCTTGTTCCACCATGTCTATCTTATGCACTTTATCTAGCTGCATTACTTTCCAGTCCAAGTCCTTTCAGCTTTCAGGAGAGCCAAAGGCAGACTGTTTTGCTACCTGCCAAGATGAAGACTGGGTCTAATGAGTACTGTGTGGTGCATTATCCAGGGGGTGTGTGTTGAAGGCCTTTGCTCAGAAAAGATGAAGATGTGTGGGTTCTGTCACCTGCTGTAGGTTGGCAAGATGGCTGTGGTGTGTGGAGTGTGGTGGACTCCCTATGTTGACCAGTCAGCACTGGAAAGGTAGCCAAGAATGAGATTTTGCCTCCCTGCCTCATACAGAGGAATGCAAGCGATCTCTGGTCTTCCCTTCTGGCAGAAATAAAACAGTTGCCTTGAATCCTCCAGTATCTCTTTGTCTGATATCTCTTTCCGCAATACCCAGGTTCTAAAGCCCAACAGCTTCTACAAGGTCTCCAAGCCACTGATGAAAGTCAGCAGCTGCAGGCAGTGATTGAGATGTGCCAGCTGTTGGTCATGGGAAATGAAGAAACATTGGGAGGATTTCCAGTCAAGAGTGTTGTACCTGCTTTGGTAAAGATAGCTTTATGGAAGTCATGGTATTCTGATCAGTGTTTTGCTTGAATCAAATATTTTGAACTTCAAGAGGTATTTGTTGCTTATAGCTGGAGGTAATGTTGGGAGGGGCAATATAGGATGTTTTTTCCCCCCTCTCTTTTTCAATATATAACGGCTATTTGTGAGCCATTTTTCAAGTGTCGTAAACTTTCATCTGTTAAAGAAGAGCTAATAATGTGAACAGGTGTATAGAAAATGTGACTTCTGTTGCTCTTGCAAGTATACAGAAGAGGTCATTTCCACAGTGTAAGGAGTGTGCTCTCTGATATTTAATAGCAAAAATTTCCTTGGCTTCTAGTTTACTTCTACAGCTTTCTTGCTCTAAGATCTACAAATACTATGTCTTTTCTTTCTCAGAGCAGTATATTCTTTCCTGGCCTACTATTTAGAACCTGTAACCTTAGGTTGCACCTTAAAAGAGCCTTTTGGCCACTGAGTCCTTCTCCTGTGGTAGGAATTGGTGGATACCAAAAATAAACTCCTTTCTGTGCCTATTGTCAGTAATGTCCCCCTTGGAGAACTTAAGTTTTAACTTCTAATAAAAACTGCAGCAAGTAGTCCAATGTGAACAGAAGTAGGATTGCACCCTCCAAAAATAAATGAGTAGAAATTGCAGCTCACTCTGCGTTTGACCAGTAAAATGGTGAAATCTGTAGCCTTTGTGAAATACAGGTTGCTGGGTGGATTTAAACAATGTAATGACTGGACTTTTTTTTTTTTTTGTATGTCTTTGAGTACTGTGGTGAGAATAACAGAAATGGCTTTATGAGAATGAAGATAATCCTACTCTGTAAGGATATGTTTGTCAGGATGGAAATGGCTCTTGGAGCAGATGTGTAGAATAACTTGTACCAGATGTATAGAATAGCAGATGTGTAGAATAATGTATAGAAAAACTTGTAGCCTTTTCCACAGCATTCTCAGATTAACCTGTCTTACAGTGTAACTATCCCTTCACGTTACTACAACATGCACACAATTGTTAGATGCCTGTGTAAAAGAAGCTATTCTAATTTGAGTAATGTTACATGAATAGAGCAATATGGTTATCAAACATATGTTTTAAAAAGTGTTCTCTGGTTTTGAGGTCATGCTTTGCTTAATTGCTCTCTTGAAACTCTTACTGAAGTTAATATTGAGTCAAAAGCTGCAGTGATGTTTGTACCTTATTTTTGCTGATAAATTGTTATTTTGCTAAATTAAGTTTTTTTTTTTTTTTTTTTTTAACAGATAACATTGCTGCAGATGGAGCACAACTTTGATATTGTAAGTGACTTGTAATACCCAATAAATTTATTGAAGGAGAAAAGTCTATCATCTGAATTTAATTCTCTCTGTTATTTATAGATGAACCATGCTTGTCGGGCCTTAACATACATGATGGAAGCACTTCCCAGATCTTCTGCTGTAGTGGTAGATGCAATTCCTGTCTTCTTGGAAAAGGTAGAATTAATTGGAACAGTATTTATTATTATTAAATATATTTTAACTTCAGGTTTACCCTTAAGACATATTTTTCCATAACTTACAAGATACTACATTGTCCAGGAGAAACTTTTAAGGATGGGTTTTCTCCTTGTTCCTGTTCTTTCTGAAAGGTATTGTCTGATTTACAGAAAACTGACTGGTGTTGCAGAGAGTAGTGTATATGCACTGCAAACTCTTGAAGCAGCTACACAGCTGGTCTAGCTTTAAATTGGCAACTTAGGTTGCAAGTAGCAGTGCAATTGCATTAGCATATGTCTTAGCATGTGCTGACTCTCCCATTGTCAATGAAGATAGCTTATTTGCTAAACCAGTTTGAAAGAACTGTGAATGTTCCTGTTTTATTCTAGCTGCAAGTTATTCAGTGCATTGATGTGGCAGAGCAGGCACTGACGGCCCTGGAGATGTTATCACGACGACATAGTAAAGCTATTCTGCAGGCAGTAAGTATAGAAGAAATTTGTATCTCTTCAGCTGATCTATGTGATCCATAATTTCTCTGAATTAAAATAAAGTTCTTAATTTCTCAATGCTGCTAAAATTAGAGTGTCAAGGCTTGTCTATTTATCTGTGACAGGGTGGGTTGGCAGACTGCTTGCTGTATCTGGAATTCTTCAGCATAAATGCACAGAGGAACGCACTAGCTATTGCTGCTAACTGCTGTCAGAGTATAACGCCTGATGAGTTTCACTTTGTGGCAGATTCTTTGCCACTGCTTACGCAAAGGTTAACCCATCAGGTAAGAGGCTTTTATAAAACAGTAAGTCTTCACTTTGACCTAAAAGTAATATAAAGTTCCTTCTAGGTATCTTAGTCCTGCTGTGTATCACTTGTGTTTGCTACTGCAAGGAGTCATTTAGTAAATATCTTGAAGTTTCTATACTGTTAAGCCATGGTATTCTGGGGTATGTGCAGATTCCATATTTTTGTAAATGTGTTTTATTCATGACACCTTGATAATTTTGTAAAATGAGATAACTAATGTACTTGAATATGAAACATGAATAGCAGTGGTTTTGTAATCTTTACTTGCTACCTAGAACTAAGAAGAAATCCAATAGCGTTACTGTGGTTTTTTTTTTTTTTTTTTCCCTCCCCCCCTAACAAATGAGTTATAAGGTTCTTCCCTACTCTAAAGTAGGTAAAGCTTCTTCAGCATCAGCTAAGTTTACATGACTTTTTGCCAACTGTCCTTTTCGGAGGGCTTACTGCTTCTTAGAAGAAAGAAAGCTCCTATTGCAGAGTAGTTTGAAATAGCGAATCCTATGTTCTGAGGCTCTAGAGATCTGCAGTGTGTTTTGTTTATAAGTGAGCACTCATAAAGACTCTTGCAATAGAAGAAGCCTAGATTTGGACATGCTGCTTGGTTGGCAAATCTCTTTTAAGGAGAATCAATAAAGTGAGGAAGGAGAAATGACTGTCTCTTCTGTAATAGATAAAATTAAATGGAATTCTCAAGGGAAGCTTTTTGCATGTTCTTCTAATATTCTTAATTCTGCTAATGTTGTCTTGCTGAGAGACTGCTTAAATCTTTAAAGCAGCTTCACCAGTCAAAAGTGTTGGCTTTAGAGGATGCTTTCGAAAGGGTAGGGAGTAGGGAGTGCTATTCTGAACAGTAGTAGGACAGGTACTCACTTCTACCGTCTTAAGAGGCCGTAGTACACCAAAACAAAACTTTAAATTGAAACTCTTCTGTCAAAAAATCTTGAGTTAGCTCTTCAATTAACTTTTTAATTTGAACTATTTTTAGAGCAGTCTTTGCTTCCTTGATGTTACTGAATTCGTTACTGGATTTGGTGTCTCAGCTATACTGGATGTGGGGGAAAAAATAACGGCGTTCGTGTAGTCATTGTCTCTAGTTTTGTTTTCTCATGCTTTAGGACTTTCCAGCAATATCCAAGTGTAATGAATGTCCTATCTGTTTGGTGTTGGATTGTTCAGTTCTCTTTGCAGTAAGATGAAAGCCAAGTACCCTAAAGATCAGAGCAGGTTTCTATGACATGATGAAGGAGATTCCACTAGACTTTAAGTGGTATCACCTATCTAGGTGTGGGGGGTGGCTTTTTCTGCTGAAGCAGCAGCAATCTCGGAGCAGTATGTGAAGTAGGCTGTTCAGCTGGAAACTGTGGATAGTGGCACAGATTCCGTCAAAGTTTGGGTGAGGAGTAACCTTCCTAATAGCTGTGAAGCTATCTGAGTCACTTTAGCTTTGTACCATCCTCTCTAGAATCTGGAATGGATGTTGTAGACCCACTCACTCATCTCTTACTAGATTTTTCTGGTGTTGTGTGCTTCAGATTTCTGCAGGAGAAGGTTATTTTCTCTGTGGCCATTTGCAGAAACATTGAATGCCAGTGTTCATGATGCTTCAGAAAATGGATTCCTGCGTGGTTCAGGAGAAAGCTCTCTTTACCCAAATTCTTGTAACAGCAAATATACTTGCTAGAGAAGAGGAGCCTTTCTCCAAGAACATTGTTTCAGCTGAGACATGAGATTCTCAAAGTCCTTGACTTAGCACAGTGTTATTTCTGAAGTTTGGCGTTGTTTTGCCCAGTAAACCATAAACTCATTCCAGAGTACTTTTTGAGGACTTGAGTGTGTACTAACATATGGGCTTTCTAGAACTGAAACTTAACTTCTCTTCATAGGATAAAAAGTCCGTTGAAAGCACTTGTCTCTGTTTTGCACGGCTAGTGGACAACTTCCAGCATGAGGAGGTAAGGCTGTGGTTTTTGTGCGAGTGGGTTTTTTTCTTTCCTCCTTCCTTTCCTTTCTCTCAAGTGCTCCTCTTTCAAAATCAAGCCAGTGTTTTTAACTTGTCTTTTCTCTGTCTTAAAGAACTTGCTCCAGCAGGTTGCTTCCAAGGACTTGTTAACAAATATCCAGCAACTCTTGGTAGTGACTCCTCCTATCCTGAGCTCAGGAATGTTCATCATGGTGGTGCGCATGTTTTCCTTAATGTGCTCCAATTGCCCTACACTTGCAGTGCAACTTATGAAGCAAAGTGAGTTCTTGTTCTTTCATGTTCTTGAGATGATCTTTTTAAGTTTGTCTGTGTGCCTAGGGTCAGTGTGAAACGTAGTGCACTTGATTATATATGATTAATGCTTTATTTTCATCTGTTATTACAGTTTTGCTGGGATATAAAATTTAGTTAACCTTGTTAAATGTATTTTTCTCAGAACTGTTCTCCCCTCCTTCTCCCCCCTTCCCCCTTTTCTGCCTTCTGTAGTCACTGGGGTGCTCGCCTCAGTGCTAACTGAATAGTCATAATATTTACCAGATAGGAGAAACATGGCTTGAGGGAGGCTTCTAAGGAAAAAGCATGAAGGAAAGTAAATGTGCTGTTCAAGAGTCTTGATGCTCACTCCTTTCTTTCTATCTTTTAAATTTTGATTTGTTATTCCAAATATGTTCCACCAATAGTTTTCCATGCTCTGGCCTATTTATTTAAATTTCCTACCCTAATGTTCTTAAGAACAGCAAAAGCCCTGAAAACACCTTTCTTGTAATCTCCAAAGAGATGGTTCTTGTCCTTTATTCTGTTCGCTCAAGGCAGTGCCTGTGTCTTCTGTGTTCTGTCTGGCACTAAATGGGGCCCATATTCTGGTGCAGGCAATCTCATGAATAATAATAACTTTTTATAGATATCGCAGAAACGCTTCACTTCCTCCTCTGTGGAGCCTCAAATGGGAGTTGTCAAGAACAAATTGACCTTGTTCCACGGAGTCCTCAAGAACTTTATGAGCTTACTTCTCTTATTTGGTAAGTTGTGCAGGTCTACATTCTGGATCTGGCTGGTTGGTACATTAACTCCATAAATTCTCTAAAACAAAGCAAATGATTTTTCAGGTCAACTTGAGTATGTGTGCTTCTAAAAAAATGCTGTATTTTTTATTTTTATTTTATTTTTTTTTTTAGTGAATTGATGCCTTGTCTGCCAAAAGAAGGAATCTTTGCTGTTGATACTATGCTGAAGAAAGGAAATGCACAAAATACAGATGGTGCAATATGGCAGTGGCGAGATGACAGGGGTCTCTGGCATCCCTATAACAGGATTGATAGTCGAATAATAGAGGTAGTAGTTCCATACATTTGTGTGGTGATGTTTTAAAAAATGTAGCAACAGGCTAATCTGCCTTATTCTTCTCAATATGAAATGCAAGAGTTGGTTGAATCTCCTGCTGTAATACTGCACAATTTTGGTATTCAGTAACAGGTGAACTATTGAATGTTTAATCCCTCTTTTTACAGTGTTTCTGTCAGTCTTGCTTTTCCCACTGTGGTGACCCTCTCCTTGCCTTCTTATGGCTTACTATGTGTTAGGGTTTTCTTAAAACTTAAGTTTTGTTTTTGTTCTTAGGCAGCTCATCAGGTTGGTGAGGATGAGATAAGCCTGTCAACGCTTGGGCGTGTCTATACTATTGACTTTAATTCTATGCAGCAAATAAATGAGGATACTGGAACAGCACGTGCCATTCAGCGAAAACCAAACCCTTTAGCCAATACAAACACTAGTAAGTACAGCTTTTGAAAAGACATCTGGCCTCTCTGGTAATTACTTATGCTAGGATGCTCTGCAATCTCCTTAGAAAACAGGAATATGTTTCTCCTTGTTCTATGAAGCATCACCATTCTGATTGCTCATATGAAGAAGACTTTGCAGGAAAACTTAAACTGCTGAAATGTATTCTTTTTAATAGGCAAACTCTTCCTGAGAACTGAAAATAGATATATTTTTGGAAAGAGGGGGGAGGAGGCTTCTGATGTGGTGTTTTCTGAAACTGTTGTCTGCATACGAAAATCCTCTTAATGAGAATTATGAGAAAGCCAGTAGATTACTAACATACTGACATGTATAAGAATATTGAAAAAATAGAATCTAATAAGGATTAAAAAAGGGTTTGTAACTATTCTATTGTCAGTTTGACTTCTGACCCTTAAAGTAACATATGTGTTTGACTTGATCTAAAACTTGTTCTTAAGTTAACATATTTTTGACTTGATCTAAACTAGTTCATCTTTAAAACAGTAGAGAGAGCAGAGATGCAGAGAACTATGCAGTGATTTGGTGCGCAATTTCTCACAGGTGGACATTCAGAGTTGAAGAAGGATGATGCCCGAGCACAGCTAATGAAGGAGGACCCAGAGCTGGCTAAATCCTTTATCAAGACATTATTTGGTGTTCTTTATGAAGTATATAGTTCTTCAGCTGGACCTGCTGTTAGACACAAGTGCCTTAGAGCAATTCTTAGGATAATTTATTTTGCTGATGCAGAGCTTCTGAAGGATGTCCTGAAAAATCATGCTGTTTCAAGGTGAGCATGTTAGCAGTCATTAAATGCAACATATTTTTTTTAGATTTGTGACTCTCTCTAATCACTTTTATATATAACGTGCTTTTGATTTTTTTTATTTTTTTTTTTTTGGTTTTGTTGCCGAAGTTGCCTGTTCTTCAGTAGTTTTTTGCAGCTTAGATTTTGCAGTGTGACCAGTCTAGACTCTTACAGTAGAAAATCAATTTACTGTCTATACAGCCAGTAATGTCTGACACTATTTTCATAATTTCTAAAACTTGCTCATAAATTCTTCTGGGAGGCAAGGTGACTTAGAATAATACGATTCAAACAGTGACAGAATCTCGTAGTATGCAAATAATAAGTTTAGTTCTATCCATGAAGCATCACATATGTAATATAAGCTTACGGTTTAAACAAAAAGGTTGCTAGTAGGTGCACTTAGTGTTAACTTTAAATGGACACTCCTTCACACGTTTTGACGGAAATACTTGGTACAAGTGATATAAACAAGGAAAGACTTTTTTTATCCTCTTATTGGGCTTTTGCAAAAGCAATAAAATTTGTCTTTTGGTCTTCGATATGAACAATATATGCAGGATGAGCTAGCTTGATTTTAAAGCAAAGAAATAAAACACAAACCTAACTCTAACAACTTATCTGTTTTAGTCATATTGCCTCTATGCTGTCGAGTCAAGACCTTAAGATAGTAGTTGGAGCCCTTCAGATGGCCGAGATCTTAATGCAAAAGTTACCTGACATTTTTAGTGTTTACTTCAGAAGAGAAGGTAAGTTGTGCTCTTACTTTCTTCCTCCCCCTTATTAATAAAATATTAAATCCATGTAAGCTATCCTAATATGACTGCAGAGGAGCTGGCCAGGACTCTGGAGGGGGAAAACTTGTTTTTTTTGGATCTCAAACAAGTTTGAACAAGCTTACTAGAAGCCAATGACTTTACTTAGTTCAAAGGATGCTGACTGAAATTACGTGGGAGTCTTTAATGAACCAAACTAATAAATCTTAGTAGAAACTCTGATTTTTATTTTTTTCTGCCTATGTGATTTCTTTTTTGTTTTACTACTGTGTTAATAATATAAATTAACTTATTCCAGAAAGTATTTAACTGCTTTTAAAATTTACTCGATGTCAGTGTTGGTGCAGGGGAAGAATGTTGTGACACTCAAGAGGTTCTAATTTAAGATGGTTGTCTGAGGTGGGCGGGGGGAAGCTTTTATATATAAGGACTTTTATATATAAAGACTTTTCTTTTGTGAAGGGGTGATGCACCAAGTGAAAAACTTAGCAGAGTCTGAGGCTTTGCTGACAAGCCCCCCCAAAGTGTGCACTAATGGATCAGGAACGCTGAGCACCACTACAACGATAAGCACTGGAACAGCCACTGCTGCCAGCAATGCAGCTGCAGATCTGGGCTCCCCCAGCCTACAGCACAGCAGGGAAGATTCTCTGGATCTGAGCCCGCAGGGGTAAGTGCCCTATGTGTTGTGAGCAAATGATCAGGTTTGTAAGCATTGACACATTGCTCTCTGTAGTTGCCATTACAGTCAATAGACAAAATATTTTAAAGAAATTGAAAGCGTTACAAAAAAGTCTTGACTGGCTTGGGTTGCTCCAGAGTCATCTGCGTTTTGTTGGAATGTTTTTGTTTTAAGGAACTAAAGTACAGTAACCGTTGAATCTGTCAATTGGTAATTTTAGTAAGGTTTATATGAAACATTTTAAAAATAACCCATGCCACTTCAGAAGAGACTGGAGGATGCCAAGACTAAAAGCTATAGTCCCATGTTTTACTTTCCTGAGGATAGTGGTGGGTTTTTTTTTTTTTTTTTTTTTTTTTCTCCCCAGGGGAAAAAACGTTATTCTTAGATTGTTTTGTTTGGGCCATTTTGAACTCTTGCAGAATTCAAATCTTTTGTAGGAATATATTTTGTTACTGTTACCTTCCTTTTGAGAGGGAAATACTTTTCTTACTGTATCAGCACAGTAAGGAAAGTCACTTTGAATTAGAATTGAAGTGTCTCAACTTGATAAGTGTAGGAGTTGGTGAATAGAAACTTAGCCGTTCAGAAAGTACTTGCTGTGTTTTAGTAGGAGACACATGTCAACTACTCAGTGTCCTTTGGTGGTTATACAGTAGTGATTTTTGTTGAAGCGTAGTTATATAAGTGGCTAGCCAGTTACACATGTAGCTGTGATTAGTTATGAGAAGCCTTTCTCAGGGATATTGCTGGCTGTACCTGGCTGCCCATGGAAGGGTGACACCAGCAAGCAGAGCCCCTTCCCTCCTCGGTATGGAAAGGAACCTTCCTTCCTTCTTGAGCAGATAGCAACAGGCACATCTCTCACATATGGATATGTATATGAGTATGGCGGATGAAAACATGTTGTTTTATTTTTAAATTTGGACAGACGACTGAGTGATGTTCTAAAGAGAAAAAGGCTGCCAAAACGAGGGCCAAGGAGGCCAAAATATTCTCCTCCGAGAGATGATGATAAAGTAGACAATCAAGGTAAATCATTTTTAAAGTAACTGCTAACTCCTTTTAAATTCAAAATAACCTAACCAAGCTGTCAGTAATGCTTAACAAACCTGCTGATTCTAGGAGAATATTTTAATTTTTTCTTTGCTTCCTCCAGCTAAAAGCCCTACAACTACTCAATCTCCTAAATCTTCCTTCTTGGCAAGTTTAAATCCTAAAACATGGGGAAGATTAAGCACACAGTCCAACAGTAATAATATTGAACCAGCACGAACAGCAGGAGTTAGTGGTCTTGCAAGGGCTGCTTCCAAGGATACCATTTCCAATAACAGGTACCAAAAAAAACAATTCAAAACACTTACAGTATGAGGTTGACTTTAAGGTATGTTTGCTTTATAAGCAGTTAGTTGATTAGGTAGCACATATCAAAGATGAGTAAGAGGTAAATACTGTTTAACAAAGTAAACTATTCCAGGAGAAATGAAAAGTAAATAGTAAGGGGCTGGGAGAAATGGAGAATAGGAAAAATGGTACAAGAAGAAATTAGCAGAAATTGATCTTCACTGAGTTTAAATAAGAGGGAAGGGTGGTTGTCTGTGGTTCCTGTTAAACTAGAGGGGAATGGTGCTCTTGCTGTGTTCACTCATACTGTTTACATTGTGAATATTTTAAGTGTGGCTAAATGCCTTTTGTATTTTTTTTGTATTTTTTTTTCCTCCTCCAGAGAGAAAATTAAGGGCTGGATTAAGGAGCAAGCCCATAAATTTGTAGAACGCTATTTTAGCTCTGAAAACATGGATGGAAGCAATCCTGCACTAAATGTACTACAGAGACTTTGCACTGCAACTGAACAACTCAACCTCCAGGTTAGAAATGGAAAATGTGTTTCAAGTTGGGAAAGCAGAGGAAGCAGTAGAACTATTTTGGAAGAATATGGCTATTTGTCTGGAGAAGAGCAGACTTTTAGACAGGATAGACAATACAGTCTATACAGCAAGTGCAGATTTTGTTACCTTAAATGCTGCTTAAGCAGTGTTTTTTAAACTGGCAGTGTGGGGTTTGGGTGTGGTGTTGTGTGTGTGGTTTTGGTTTTTTGTTTTTTTTTTTTGTTGTTGTTGTTGTTTTGTTTGTTTTGTTTGTTGTGTTTTTCCTTTTTTTTTAAGAATTAGTATATAAAATCTTAATTATTTATGATAAAGAACTAGCATTAGCAATGGTATTCTTGTTTCCTAGCATTATTGCAATCCATCTCTTTCAACTTATAAAAATTGTTTGACTCTCTCCATGGAAAAGAGCACTGATTTTAGATCTTTGACACATGATCTAAACTTAACTACTCAACTGTTCACCTACTTCATTTCAAAGGACACCCCATAACTAACGAAATACTAATAGATCTTGAAACCTTCCCTCTTCTCTTCTGCAAAGATGTCTTGTAAAATGTGTATCAGTATGATTGTTTGTTTGATTCTTTTTCTATTTGGAGTTCAACTTCTCTTTGCATGAGACAGAAGAGAGACAGGATTCAATTTCTAAAAGGGGGAAAACTCAGATATTGTCTGTAACACCACCTTCTCTAATACTAGGGTGTAGTAAAATTAAAATATTCCTGGTATGTTTTTCAGGTGGATGGTGGAACAGAGTGCCTTGTAGAAATCCGTAGCATCGTCTCGGAGTCTGACGTCTCCTCATTTGAAATCCAACATAGTGGATTTGTGAAGCAACTGCTGCTTTATTTGACATCTAAAAGTGAGAAAGATGTTGTAAGCAGAGATATCAGATTGAAAAGATTTCTTCATGTGTTTTTTTCTTCTCCAGTAAGTTTTACTGTTTCTTACTCTGGAATTCATGTGAATGGTCTTTGTTTCAAACTGTATACATCTGACTACCTGAGATTCAGGGATGATCTTGACTTTTGAGGATGTGAGGAATGTATTAGACATGGTTAGGACGTATCTGTTAGACACATCTCTTAGATGGTTTTGTGTCTTTACGGATCCTAAACTCTTTGGATTAGTCTCTAATTACAGAAAATTAGACACAACAGTAGAAAAATTTTCCCCAATGGCTGTTTATGTGTTATATATCTGTTATATATATCTATATATATATCTATATAGAGCTGTTTTTAATTCCTTTTTTCATTGATTTGTTTTTTTTTTGAAATAAGTCATGGTGTAAATTTTTTAAGATGGGTTCATTAAAGCACATAACTCAGACTTGAACATATTTCAGCTTCCTGGAGAAGAACCCCTCGGAAGATTAGAGCCATTAGAAAATGCACCTTTGTTGGCATTAGTCCACAAAATGAACAATTGCCTCAGTCAGATGGAACAGTTTCCAGTCAAAGTGCATGACTTCCCTAGTGGAAATGGAACAGGGAGCAGGTAAGGATTAATGCTCAGGTAACAGTTTGTTGGAAGGTCATTTTGTGCAGCTTGTTCCAGTGCTGAAAGTGTCAAGAAATAACAGCCCTGTAGAAGAAAAAAAGCATTTGCATAGTGTGCTGTGTGTGTGTGTGTGTGATTTTTCTCTTGTATTATGTTTCTATTTAGTAGAAGGTTGTATATATAACTGCATCTTTGCTTACCGTCTTGCAGTTTCTCTCCTTTAGATTGGAGAGGGAAGTGTAATATTAAATGCTTTTTTAAGATAAGAACTTGACCTTTTTTTCCTTGTGCTTGTGTAACAAACACTGGAAAGAATAAGTCGTACTCTTCCTTAAAACATCAGGACTACAGTTGATTAAGTGTATAGCAACTAGTAAGTTTACTTTGGTATATGGTGCGCATAAGTTTAAGCTTAAATTTCTTGGTGCTATTTAAAAGGACAGCTTGATTGTAGGTCTGTCTATGTTGTTATAGGGAAATTAGGAAGAAGTGAAAGTCAGATATTAGAAACTACTGTTCACTTGTTTAACTTACAGGGGTGTGTTTTTGTTTGTTTGTTTCCTCAAGTTAGTTAGTTAAAAAATTTAAAGCTGGTAGACTAAACTATTTTTTTTCGTCTTTAAAAGAGAAAGACTGTATCTGGGCCCAAATTTTGAGTATCGGACTCCCCAGCCTTCTTAAATAAGGCAAAGAGGGCTACTTTCTTAGACTGCCCTTGACAAGGTTATGTTTTGGCTTCTAGAAGATGACGAAATGCATATAGATTACATTTAAAGTTTGAAATGCTAAAAAATTCTGTCTATTTCATGTAGTAAGACAATGTGTTTTGTTGTCATCAACTGTGACAACATCCATTATAGTCTTTCACTAATACCTTGGGATAAAAGTAGCCCAAGATAAGTATTAATAATTGCTTAGATGGAACATGTATATAAAATATACTTATTGGTAAGAAAAAATATAAGTAAGTATGTAGCTTTTTCTCTCAGGTACTTATTAAAAATAACATGAATGGATATTTTCCACTCCCAATTCATCATCTTACTGTACTGTAGGTGAAGGCAACTCTGAAGTTGTTAAATGTGTCATCAGTTAACCACTGAACAACTTCAAGCATAAAAGATGGTCAGTATAGACCATACTTTTTCAGACCTCTGACTAAATCTTCTCTTAATCCATTCAGCTTCCATTGGAAGTGGGATTTGTCCAGTTAGGCTCTGGTCGTCTTGTAGAGAGAACTTTTGAATTTGCTTATACAAATCTTAATAGCCTTTTTTTAAAGGGAGGCACTAAAACAGAGCAGGTGTATTCTCAAATGCATGCATAAGCCTACTTGAGTGCATTGTTTATGCACTGCTGGTTATTAGATTTTCTTTGTGTAGCAACTTTTTTCACAAATTATTTTGAGTTTTTCTCTTAACAGAGGATCTCAAGCTTTAAAATTCTTCAACACACATCAATTAAAATGCCAACTGCAAAGACATCCAGACTGCGCTAATGTGAAACAGTGGAAGGGTGGACCTGTGAAGATTGATCCTCTGGCTTTGGTACAGGCCATTGAAAGATACCTTGTAGTTAGAGGTATTTATATCTTATGTAGTAACGCGGGTATTTTGATTCTTAGGATAATTAGCACTATCAGTAGTACAGAGCCTGAAAAACCTGACAGGATTATACTGAAGACAAACGTATGGTACCTAAAAAATATATTTAATCCACAGAGAAGAGACTTGAGCTAAAAGGGAATCTGTCATTTTCTAGAATGCTTTTTCATGTTGTGGTATGTTTAGCCCAAATTCTAACAGAAATATAATCAAATTGGCTATCGGGTTGTCTGAAGCGGCATATTTGATGCCACATGTTCATACATGTTGGTACATGTCTGAACTTTCCATTCTTCATGTATTTGGGGACTGAAATCACTCAGACTTCACAAAAGTTACATTATAAAGGTATTACTGTGCTTAACTTAAAAACATGTAAGAATATTTCTTCTCTTTCCCCAGGTTATGGTAGAGTTAGGGAAGATGATGAAGATAGCGATGATGACGGGTCAGATGAAGAAATAGATGAATCTTTGGTAAGCTTTTGATGGTTGGGGTAAGACAGCAGCATGGGGAAAGCTTTGAAGAAAAGCAAACAAACCAGTTATTTACCTTATTTATTTCCTTCAGGCTGCTCAATTCTTGAATTCAGGTAATGTGAGACATAGGCTACAGTTTTACATTGGGGATCACTTGCTGCCATATAATATGACTGTGTATCAAGCAGTCAGGCAGTACAGTTTACAAGCTGAGGAGGAGAGGGAATCTACAGATGATGAAAGCAACCCCCTGGGAAGAGCTGGGATTTGGACAAAAACACATACCATTTGGTAAGTCGGTTAGAGAAACCAGAAGCTGGTGACTAACTTCTCGAAATTTCTAGCTGTATGTTCTTGAAGAAAATTTGAATATAGATTTCTCTTTTTTTTTTTTTTTTTTCTCTCTCCTCCAAAACTGTGAAGCTTTGAATTTGCTGATGTGCTTGAGATGCTTAAACCATAGTAAGCATTTATTGTCTGATAAAACTCTTCCTTCTAGCTAATGTAAATTCACATTACGTGGATAACATATAGTAAAGCTGATGAACAAAAAATGACAATCTGAAGTGATAGCAGCTCAGTAGAGTGAAATTACTCTCTAGCATTGGACAAGTAACTACAACCAATAGAGAAAATGGCTGCAGTCTACAATTAATGATTAACTTGATGCTGTTTTCTTAAAGATAATTACTGTGTAGATAAATGTATTCTCTGGTTGTAGCTTAGATTTGTATGGGTGTAAGAAGCACTCTTGGCCTATGACTGTAGCAAGCATTTTTAAGTTTCAGCTTTGTTTTTCTCTCACTAATATTTAAATGCTTGTCATTCAAACCAATAGCTCTGTGTGATATGTTCATTCATGCCTTTTGCTTCCTCCAGTTAATGGAGCTGGAGGGGACCCATTTTTCCTCCTCTGTTCTTTATTTCTGAAGGGCTAGCTCCAAAGGCTGGAACTTACGCAAATGCCCTGTTCTTTTCAGCCTTTAAAGATCAAGTAAAGTTCCATTAATCAAAGTAGTAACAATTCTAACAGATGGTTTTGTTTCCATGTGTGTTAATTGCATATGTGTTCATTGAAAATAAAAATTTCTTTTGAGGTACAAACCTGTGCGAGAGGATGAAGACAGTAATAAGGACTGTGTTGGTGGTAAAAGAGGAAGAGCACAGACTGCTCCTACAAAAACCTCCCCTAGAAATTCTAAAAAGCATGATGAATTGTGGCACGGTGAGTATGTAGCATGCTGAGGTAGTATGTTAGTGTTAGATGTTTCCGAAAGCGGAGGAGAAGCATATATGGAGACATCACAATAAAGATTTCTTTAAAAGCATGCATAATAAAAGTAAATATATAAAAACATATACATATAAAAATAAAAGCTGCATATAATCTAAATAAAATGATTTGTTTGAGTGCCAAGCAAATGACAGTTTTTTGTTGTTTGTTTGTTTGTTTTTTCTTTTTTTTCTTTTTTTTCCCTCCTGCTAGATGGTGTATGCCCTTCGGTATTAAATCCTTTAGAAGTTTACCTCATATCTACTCCACCTGAAAACATAACATTTGAGGATCCATCATTAGATGTTATACTTCTTTTGAGAGTTTTACATGCTATCAGTCGATACTGGTATTATTTGTATGATGTGAGTAGAGCACTTCTAACTACTTTCCTACTTAACATGAAAATCTGTCTTCAGTAGCTCTTAAAACAGTCTTTGATCCCTACCCTCAAAAGAGAATGCTAATATCTTTTTTCCCCCCTACCTCTTTCTCTAATTTATAGTGAGTTGAAGGCTTAACTTTCTAATGGTGAGGCATGCATGCTCTTTACTTTGTTAAAATAAACATATTTTCGAAGTTCTTTATCATTTAAATTCAATAAAAAGGAATCCTTCATAAAAAGGAAATTAATGTTGGAAATCTATTTTGTATTTCATAGTTCATCCTCTGTATGTGTCAAATGACAATGAAAGTTCCCTGCTTCATACCTCCCCCCCACCCATCCCTTTCCTTCCTTTGTTAAGAAAATTATAGGTGTTTTAAAAAAAATAAAATAATAATAAAAAAACCTCTGATATTCTTTAGTTAGAAACTTGTTACTCTTTACCATCACAGAATGCAATCTGCAAGGAGATAATTCCAACCTCAGAATTTATCAACAGCAAACTGACAGCAAAAGCAAACAGGCAGCTCCAGGACCCTTTGGTAATCATGACAGGAAATATACCCACTTGGCTGACAGAACTTGGAAAAACATGGTATGACTGACTTGCTCTCTGGTATTTCAGACTAGAGTTCAGTAGGCTTCTTGGCTGAGCGGCCCAAATACAGTATATTGCAATGGTTTTGAAAGCATCAGAGAGAGTAAAATACAGTCCCAGCAATCTTAAATTCCCTGGTGCTTCTTGGATAAATGTTTACACATGTACTGCATAGTTTGAACCATATGTGGATGGAAAGGGCTAGGTGCAAAGTTTAGACCAGGCTTACAGGTGTTACTGAGTAATTTGAAGTTTTCTTGTTGAAATACAAATACTTGAATCTGTCATATGTTCTTCTGTTTAGCTTCTTAATGGCATTTTTATTGCTCCACCATGCTTATCTTGGCATGTTCAATACAATTCTAAGGAAAATAAGATTTTTTATTATAAATCTTAAATAGTTACTGTTTATGTTAAGTGAGTCTCTAAAAAAAAAATGTCATAAACACAGTATAACTTTGTAATAAAGTATTTGTAATGCTTTGTAGTATCCTGA